GCCGCGCATTCGTACCTGCGTACCACTTATGTGCACCCCTGGCAATACCTGATTAGTTTGGGTTGAAGTCAAAATACAAAATGCTGAGTAATTAAATATATAATTGCGTCTGCTCTCAGGATCACACGGAAAAGGCCATCGCAATCGGGGCGACGCTGGCTCATGAGATGGGTCACAACCTGGGGATGAACCATGATGACTCCAGTGCCTGCCCCTGCACTGGAGACAGCTGTATCATGGCTCCAGCACTCAGGTAACAACAATCTCTCTTAAAGTGGTGCAGGAATGAGTCCTAAAACCCTCAAATGAGTCAGCATTTTAGCACTTGCTGTCTGTTTTTGATAATGTGTTTTTAGTTGTTATCCTGAAATAAGGTCTGTGTAATGACATCAAATATATCAGTAAATACCCCACTGGTGAATTTAAAAACGGAGGCTGCTAACAAGAGTCTAAATGAGATGATTAAACGTCATCACGCCCAACATTAGCCACCTTTAGCTTAGCGGTGGTGACGTGAAGTCATGTGACCGTGCTGTAGTTCCTTTATAGCCCAACATTAGCCACCTTTAGCTTAGCGGTGGTGACGTGAAGTCATGTGACCGCGCTGTAGTTCCTTTATAGCCCAACATTAGCCTCCTTTAGCTTAGCGGTGGTGACGTGAAGTCATGTGACCGTGTTGTAGTTCCTTTATAGCGAGGGGTGCACATAACGTTTCAGAGAGTTACTCAGATGAGTACCAGGACACAGGGTTTGGTACTCACCCCACATGAAGCGTGGTTTCAATAAGTGTATTCCTCCTCACTGTCCTCTATTTCCACTTCATGCATGGTAAAGGATGATGCTGCAGATGAATCTCCCTGTCCCTGTTTAAGCCTCCAAATTTCCTGAGGCCAAGTTGAAGGATCAAACACTAGGAAGTGATCACATGACTAGCCCAACATTAGCCGCCTTTAGCTTAGCGGTGGTGACCTTAAGTGCTGTAGTTCCTTTATAGCCCAACATTAGCCACGTTTAGCTATGGTTAAAGGGATTTTTGTTTTAAGTTTTGCTTTAACATTTGTTCCTTGTTCCCTCAGCTACAATGTGCCTCGCACTTTCAGCGGCTGCAGCACCAACTTCTATGAGAAATATCTGACGGGCCGAAGCCCCGGCTGCCTGCTGGACAAACCGGACTACAAATCCCTGGTGACCCCGGGCGTCTGTGGGAACGGCTTCATGGAGGCGGGGGAGCAATGTGACTGCGGCACTGTGGAGGTACGGGAATATAAATCTGTTATGGCCTTAATATGGCCTTGCTGCTTTCGTTTGGTTTTAATTAACTACATCAACAATGATCCAGTTCATAGATTCAAAGGTTTTATGTCATATGCTTATAAGCTACAGTTCTTCTGACCCGAGCTCCTCCAACAATGCAACATGTATAATACCTAATAGTGCAAGAAGTCTATATCCATGTAAATAGAATATGATATGTACAAAAACAGATTATGAAATTAAATCATGTACATTAAGACAAGATTAAATACTGACAAAAACAAAGTTAGATGAAGCGTAAGTTATCCGCTCACATAGATCCGAACAAATAGAAATGTTAAAAAAAAAAAAAAAACTTTGACTTTAGGGGATCTTGCAGTAACAAAACTTCAGTTCAATTATTTGTAATAACTTGCAAAATGAGGTTAATATGTCCATTTAACTCTCCTATTTAAGAGCGATGGTGTTGCACAAAATCTTACTAAATATTGGGTCTATTAAGTAGGATGTGGTGCAACACCATCACTCTTAAATAGGAGAGATAAATGGACATATTAGAGTTCTGTTAGTGCAGGTTCCCCTTTAGTCAATACTGTTTGTTATTGCTTTGTTTGTGTAACCTTTACTCTGAAGTGTTTTTGTGATATCTATTTCGGAGCAAAACATGATTCAGCATGCACACGGCAAAAATGTGATCTGGAGAAATGAGACTAGGAGAGTAGGACGTAGAATTTCATTTGAATTAAAAAAAGTAGTGAGGGTTTAAGACAGTGGTGTAAAGTAACTAAGTACATTTACTCAAGTACTGAACTTAAGTACTATGTTGGGGTACGTGTACTTTACTTTAGTATTTCCATGTTATACTACTGTGTACTTCTACTCCACTACAGTTCAGAGGTACATGGTGTACTTTTCCTCCACTACATGTATTTAATCCCTTTAGTTACTTCTCAGATCTGGATGAATGATGTGAAATATAATCAAGTGTTAAATCAGACTTTAGTTCCACCTGGAGTAAATCCACAAGCTACCCTGCAGTATACAAAGTCATTCAAACTAGCTGCACCTTTACCAGCTTTGAGAACACTTTCATGATCAATCATTATAAAACATATCATATATATTATTCTGAAATGGACCAATCTGCACAATGACTACTTTTACTGTCGCTACTTTCACTATATTTTGATGAGAATACTTTTCTACTTTGACTTGAGGAACATTTTGAATGCAGGACTTTTACTGTAACAGAGTATTCTTACATTCTGGTACTTCTACTTTCACTCAAGTACAAGATCTGAGTACTTCTACTTTCACTCAAGTACAAGATCTGAGTACTTCTACTTTTACTCAAGTACAAGATCTGAGTACTTCTACTTTTACTCAAGTACAAGATCTGAGTACTTCTACTTTTACTCAAGTACAATATCTGAGTACTACTACTTTTACTCAAGAACAAGATCTAAGTACTTCTACTTTTACTCAAGCACTATATTTGAGTACTTGATGCTCTGATCCGAGACGTGTTGATACCTGAATGTTTTTCAAACCACAACATTTCTCCTCCATCTGAACTCGACCCCTTCACGTTGTGATTCTGACGGATAATTGGCCGACGTGATAATTGG